TATAAAAAATGTGGTTTTGTTTTTTTTTTAATGGTGTGCTACGCCCTGACTGCGTTTGCCTTCCTCCTAGGCGATAGCCCACTACGAGCAGGCTGCGGATTACTACAAGGGGGAAGAGTCCAACAGGTAAAGGCTCTGCCGCAGGCAGGGCAGCCCTGCTGCCCGCCCTGCTGCCCGCTCCCGGCGCTGCGGGAGCTGCCGGTGCAAGCTCCCCGTGCGGGATTGGCGCTCCGGCCCGGCCCCGGGGTGGGTCAGGAAACAGATGGCGACTGAGTTTGTCTCCAAAACCATTTCCCCTCGGCAGCCAAGCGGCGTTGCGTGCCTTCGCTGCTGCCCGCTTCCTTCTGGATCCTCGCCACCGGCTTCTGACCCGGGCAAGGGCTGGCAGCGCTTTCTGCCTGCCGTGCCGGGGGCGGAAGGAAGAGGGCTCCCGGTGCTGCTGGGCCGGGGGCTCTGCTCGGCAGCTTCCCCCCTCCTCGGGGAACCCCAATTGCCAGCGCTCGGGTGGGAGCTGGGGGGTGTGTGTGTGTGTGTGGGGGGGGGAGGCCTTGCCGGGGGGGGTGTGGCTCTGTGGGCAGCCTGGTGTTCCCGGCGGAGCGCGCCGCCCTGAGCTTTCCCGGCTCTCCTTTCCCCACAGCTCTGCCAACAAGTGCTTGCTGAAAGTGGCCACTTACGCGGCCCAGCTGGAGCAGTACCAGAAGGCCGTGGAGATCTACGAGCAGGTCTGTGCCTCCTCGTTGCCTTGGGAGGACGTGTCCTCCCTCCTCCTGCGCGACGCGCTTGCCAGGAGCGGTTCCTCGCTGCGCGGCCCCTCCTGCGGTAGGGGGCTTGTCCAATGGAGCTCCCTAAATAACTCAGGAAAGCTCCAACCTCCCCCACCCGCCCCGGCCCCGATTTTCTTCTCCAGGTGGGCACCAGCGCCATGGACAGTCCCCTGCTGAAGTACAGCGCCAAGGAGTACTTCTTCAAGGCGGCCCTCTGCCACTTCTGCATCGACATGCTCAACGCCAAGGTTTGGCCAGGGCTGGCCTGGGGTGGGGGATGGGGCGCGCAGCCCCTCGGCACCCACGAGCGGAGGGTTGGGAAGGGGCCGGGGAGGTGGTGGTGGGGGTGGGGGGTGTCATCTCTCCTACCCTCCGGGCTAGCGGCACTGCTGGAACGCCTGCCGCTGCTCTAAATAAGCTCCCAAAACCAGCCCACCCACGCGAGCTGCTCCCCTCGGGGGTGCTCCACTCCCCGTCCTCCTCATCTCCGTCTCCCCGTCCTCCTCATCTCCGTCCGTCTCCCCGTCCTCCTCATCTCCGTCCGTCTCCCCGTCCTCCTCATCTCCGTCCGTCTCCCCGTCCTCCTCATCTCCGTCCGTCTCCCCGTCCTCCTCATCTCCGTCCGTCTCCCCGTCCTCCTCATCTCCGTCCGTCTCCCCGTCCTCCTCATCTCCGTCCGTCTCCCCGCCCTCCTCCCTCCTCTCCGTCGCCCCGTCCTCCTCTCCGTCTCCCCGTCCTCCCCTCCAGCTGGCCGTGCAGAAGTACGAAGAGATGTTTCCGGCGTTCACGGACTCCAGGGAGTGCAAGCTGGTCAAGGTGAGGAGCAGAGTTCCCTCCTTCCTCTCAAACG